ATATACATGATCATCTCAAAAATTGTTTAACTGAATTTAATTAAATTCGTATCATTCACTTTCTACTCGTATTATACTTTACATTTACACAATTCTAATAGAAAATAAAATATAAATAAATATATGGTACGCTTTCCTTCTTCATAACCTTCGCTACTATAAGCTTTATTCAATAGCTGTTTCGATATCAACGTCTGGTAATTCCATTGTACTTTTTGACTTTGTATTAATTATAGAATCGTACCATCGAACTTCTGCAGCTGCCAAGCATCTCTGCCTGTGTAAATAATATTAAATTACATTTATGCATTAATACATAATGCTCTATATATTTACAGATATATAAATTTTAAGCTATTAACAGTTCGTTAATATTACTGCCGTCTAGTATTATAAAATAAAATTATTATTTTGAAACTATAACTATTGCAACGTTTTATATACTTACATATCGACTCGATCATTTGGTGGCTTTCTTACGGGATTCCATCCAGAAACTGGTTTTTCATTTTTTACCATCATACCTCGAACACAGAAAGATAAAGTAATTGTAGTCAAATTAGGATCCTAAAAATATTAATATGAAATATATTTGATTGCCAAAATTTTTCTGCACTTTCCTACATGATTTATGTGAAAACACTAATGTTCTCATTATGTGAAGCAAAATATTAACTATACAATTAAATTTAATGAAAATAATAACGTACTCGCCATTCAGAATTTAAAACATCTGCTGAACTTAAAATATCCGCGCAGGTATTTACTTCCTCTATTCCTCTCATAGTGTTTAAATAATTTTCTTGGAGAAAACGCAAAAATACTGTTGCTTGCGATTGAAAGAAAGCTGCTATTTCATCGGGATCATGTACAAATTTCCAGCAGTTTTCAGTCTGAATTCCTGTAAAATTGTTTAAAGTTATTGTTCTTTAAATCTAGTTAAATCAATTTCTTTTTTCTAATATACACGATGTTTCTAACAACTATAACTCTGGCTATAACTCTGTTCCAAGTGAAATTAGAAAAAAGTCGTAGAGGCAAACATTGCACTGTTTAACAAACCCTGTATACAAAACTAATTATGACTAATCGATCATCAACTATTTTACAAATAAAAATTAGTATCCACATACTTTTTGGATTAATTACTCTTCCAACAGCGTGAAGGAGCCCCAAAGTTTCTTCTCGAATGTTACATTTATTTTCTTGTTCATTGGGTACTAATGATTAAAATAACAGTGTAACTGGATTTAGATTTAGCAATTAAGTGTATTGTAGCTTATGGTGCTTACCCTTTAATGAAATAAAAATAAGATTTAATACAGCATTTCTAACATCTCCTACATTATTTGATAATATTTCATCCACTTTATGTTGAGAGGTATTTAATATGTCTCCAGCAATTAAATTTAATGTGTCTGCTATTCGTTTTAATGCATTTTTCATTGCAGTTTGTGTAACAGAATTTACACTACAATAACAAAAGTTTACATAATACTTATGTATCTTACATAAAAAAAAATTACATTTAGTAACTTACTTAATTAAATCAATGCCAAACTTTTCTTTTATATTAGGTGGAAATAATGTTTGAAGTACTTTTGAATTCCCTACTTCTGTACATATAAAAACTATAGGTTCTTTTCCAAATTCGAAGTATTTCCTAAAAATTTTAATAAATCATAATAACATTTAAAAAAGACCATTTCTTCAAAATAAATAAATAATTTTACTTACTCCAAAAGAGAAAAGAAGCTCTCTTTGTCTCCAAAAAAAAAATTTGGAAAATCTTTAACAAGGAGTAAACGATTCTGATAATTACTTAAAACTGACTTATATCGAGTAGCTCTAATTAAAAATTCTTCAAATTGATCTTTTTGTCTTATTATTCTATCTGAAAGAAAAATTAATAGCTATTTTATTGCTTTATTAAGTATCATTAATATTCAACAAAAATGTAACATTTATTGAATTGTATTTAGAAAAAAAAATTACTATTTTCATCCATAGCTTGATCTATAGGAGTAATCCATTCTATAACATTAAAATTATTTTCTTTGGCAAGAACTTTTATTGCTGTAGTTTTTCCACAACCAGATGGACCAGATAAAATTAATACTGAAGGTCTTCCTCTTCTTACTTTATATTGTAACCAATCTAAAATTTCTTGCTGCTTCTGCCTGCTAACCACTACCTCGGAAGATTTTTGTGGTTCACAAGCTTTCAATAATGCAGAAAGATTATTTCTTCTCTTAGGAATTATATCACAGATATTTGGAGCTTGTGAAACATTAGTCTCTACTGTTTGGGAAGTAGTACATGTAAGTCCTGGTCTTTTCTTAACAGGTTCATGATCAAATGATGGCATTAGCCAACTACTATTCCTCTAACAACAAAAAAAATATTGTAGAACCATACCTTTGAATTGGCCATATTATAATGAAAATATTAGTTTTTCATTCATACAAAAACATGTTATGGTAAAAGTAAAAGAAATTTTTTAACAACATGTTTATCAAACGAAGTAATATTTAATGCCAATTGACTCATTTACGGTAATCTAGAAAGATTCAGTTTGAATAATTACATACATTTTTATAGTTCCAACACATAATGCACTACATAATCTTTAACATCTATTTTGTAGAAAAATATAATTTTACTTTAACAATTAACTCACTTTGCATTGGATGACAGTGTACAATTGCTATTATAAATTTGTAAACTTATTATTCACTGGCTTGCCATTAACTTTATCATAAACTGGATCTGTTTACTTTTTCAATCATTGATGCTTTTATGACATGTGGAGATTCTGAAAATTATAAAAATAATTTAACATACATGTGTACACTGCTTTTCAGTCAATTGCTTCATAATTCTATAATAATAGTTATTACACCCTATGTAAGTATGTCAAATTGCAATATAACTTTTTTAATAATCGAGTTACATATATTCGAATTAGACGAATATAGGTAAAAGTCCATTAAACATATAACAATTAAATGTATCAATGTACCGCTTTCATAAATTATACACAAAATAGGTATGTATCTAATAACCATATTCTGCTAGGTATATTTATTGTATATGTATATATATGTATACATCTCAAATTATATATTTATATATTTTTTATATATATTAAAATTCTTAATATTGTACAAACAAAATATAAATATAAAAGCATGTAAAAAGTACATCTTACTTTCGTATTAAATGTTAATTGTTCAAGAAAAAAAACTCAACATACACTAACTCTCATCGATCTTTGCCGAATCCCTAGGCTAACGCAAAACGGCAGTGGTCTTATGTGAAATGGCATACAATGCGCAGATGAAATAAACCGTTCGCGTTAAAACAATTGTAGCGTTTATTTAGTATCGGTAAATTGATACAAATAATGTGACATAGAATGCATACTTCTGTTAAAAGAAAAGACATTAATACGGTAATTGAAACGTAATAAGATTGAAACTGTTTATAACCAAACTATAGATTTCTTTATTGCCATATTTTATTTCGTAAACATTTTCTCCAATATGTATTGGACAAGTAAGACGTACACGCTCACTCAACTTTTAAAGAAAAATTATAGCTGTATTTTAAACAAAACAATGTTTCTTCTTTATACATACAGATTAATGTATTGATATATTTCATGTTTTACACGTTTACAATGTTTCTTGTATAAACGAAGACTTGATAAAGACCGATTTCTGTTTCCGAGAGCTGGTCTTAGGTATACTATTAGGGTCTTGATAAAGGCGAATTTTTCTGTGGTCAAGAGTTCTTTCTAGTTTTCTTTGTGACCTTAACAAAGACTTGTTATGAGTATTTCTCAATGTCGTACATATTTATGTACCTAGATATTTTTAGAAATCAGTCCAATAACCGTTTGCGGTGTGAACCTGATAGCCCTAGACGTTCGAAGAACTGTGGTTGACACCTTAGTGTTTCCTTTTTTAACCTTACACTGTTAGTTATCCTTACAAGTTATCTTCTATGATGTTAGGATCTGGCGACTTCGCTAACTATTGTAAGACCCAGATTTCAGGTTTGCTTATGAACCATGTACGTACGACTGCGGAGGTGTGTAACGTACTGTTGTCCTGGACTAGACTAATTACTGGAATGTCCTCTTTTAAATATTGCATGGGTGCTGAGCACCAAAACGTCCTCTAAAATATAAATATATTCAAAAAAGTTCATGTACGACGAAATTGCAACCAATTCTTCAAGACCGTGTGCAGTTACCCACCCCCACATGCCACACGTTATGCACCCACCGTCTCTACATAGGGTCACATACTTTTCATTGAAGCTAGATTCCCATACGGGTTTCCAGCTCAAAACGTTTTGTTCGCAGTCAAAGAAAACACCTTGTCCGTAAAAATTATGTAATTCCATTCAGACTGCGATAAAAGTAAATGTGTAGTTCAAAAGCAACGCGTCTTTACGATGTCTTTGCAGCAACTGTACCTTACGTTTAAACTGACGCGTCCGCGTCGTACACGTTTCGACGCGACTGTTGGACAACTCGTGAGAAAGATTTTCGCACACCTCACTTACGCATCGTACGTCGTACACCATTTCACATAACACAACCGGCGCTATACGTTTGTTTAGTTCAGGGATTCGGCAAAGATCTCCTCAGTTATGTATAAAACGATTTAACGGTTTAATTTCTTTTTTGGTATTTATATTAAGTACATACATTTTTACAGTAAATTACAAAATTTATTTAGACTTATTTTATGAATATATACAAATACTTAATTTATACTACATTGACATTTAATATGATAACTTTTAATACAAGTGATTTTTAAATGAAAATCTTACACATTCAATTAAAAGATCTTTCGTAATATTTAATCATAAAATTCGATTTTAACGTGTAAATAATAAAAATTAAGTTAATATTACAATAGTAAAAAGTAATTAGGTCTTTCAAAATTTATTAAAAATTTTATCACAGTAACATTTAAATATTATCATTCATAAGAGACATTTAAATGAAGAGTAATACTTATTTTATTATGAAATGAAATCATTAGTTCTAACCTTTAATATCATGTCAATTTATACATATTGTCAGATTTTGCATGTACAAAAATTTGTAATAATAAATTTAATTTGCAGATTTAATTAATGTAATTTATAAAATAACTAAGGCCTCAATAAATGATAACGAGTCGACTCTTTATCTCACATAATTCTTTAAAAAATATGTCAC